GTATATGGTATCAAAATGGCACTTAGCTGCTACTTGGGCGTAATAGTCAATTGCACATAAAATACAAATTTTTTTTGGTGCCACAGGGTGTATGAGTAATATAGTAACATAAGCAACTGACAAGCTGTTTTTAGCTTCAGGGTTTGCGATACTTTTTTCCAGTTTTATTGCCGCTTTTCATATTAATCCACTGTACTTTCAACCACCGCATCTCCGGTAGTTTTTTTTTGTTGCTTTTCTACCTCGAAATTGCCGATTGTATCTTGCCTTAAAAAGCGGGGCTCAAGTTCTTCTCCTCTGTTGGGTTCGGTGCTGTTACCATTCAGTAGGGTGGAAAGGTGTTTGTTCCATAATCTAAGTATGTACGCTCTGGAATTCGCCCTGTTTGGCCCTCGGATTTCGGATATCGTGATGGCTGCTTCAAGCGCTAATACAAGTGATCCTTTTTCTCTTCCTTCGGAGCGTAAATAAGCGAGATTTTGAAAAAGTTTCCTCAACATGCGTGGTTTTCTGCAACCGAAACCTTCCTCCAATTTTAATATCCAAGTTGATAAATTATCTTAGAAAACCGGATATGTCACAGTAGGTCTGGAAACTGGAAACTTTTAAAGTCTGAATTTTCTTCAATGGAATTGGCGCTAATTTGACACGAAATCAAATTTAAAAATTACGGGGCATATTCATAGTAAATATTGATTTGGTTTTTTTGAGCTTTTTGGCACAATTTTTAATGGGTTATCTGTCATAACAGTACAACTAACTTTAAGTGCCAACTTAATTTTGACTATGTATACGCGCCCATGTAACTTTCTTAAGATGTTTATCGCGTAAGGAAATGAATAAGTGTGTTCTAAGGTAATATTTGTTGTTTTAACTCTGGTTTAGTATGAAGTAGAATCTGAATATATTCAGTTTATAAACAGCTTTATTTGTCTATACGTAATTTATTGCTTCATAAATTTTATACTAACGAAATTAAAAAAAAAATGGCGAGATCATATCGATTAGTATCGTTAATTTTATTTTTCGTTACACTTTTAACCATTAATAACGTTTTTATGTATGTGTTCTGCTAAAATAATTTTAGTTTATATGGTACTCAATGGAATCAGTTTTAGCAATCGGCAACTTTGGTTTCTTGCCGAGGAATTTAACTAATTGGTTTCTTAGAAGAGAAAAAATTCTTGTATACATATTTTTTTTTTTACTTCGACATCATTTTGTATTGCAGGTTAAAATTTCTATGTACATAAAATATTGGAACCAATTTCCACTGCCTGATTGAGTATGTCATGACAAGACATTCATATATGTAGTTTGGCATTAATTCAACGATTAAAGCCAACCAAAATGTGCACCACCCCATTAAAATGCGTAAACTGTCCGTTTGTTAATGTTGTTGTCATTAATACTCAGTTTGCAATACTCATTTGTGGCTTCCGAATTTCGAACCTTTATAACCGCTAATAATGTGCCTATATGCTTCTTCCTTCTCTACAAATATCTACATAAATTTCGATTAAGTACTTGCGTCTACTTCAGCTACATCTGCATCCGTCAATCTTGGTTCTTTTACCACTATTTTGAATTGTACAATTCTGAGCGATGCATACATTTGTATCGATGTA